ATTATTTTTGATTATATACTAAGAAAAATGAATGTGACATATTGTCTTTATAGTGAAACACTTTTTTGCCCACAGACAGAGCGGAGAACGGACGTAGAACTGATACGCACCTTTGAAGGACCAAAGCGAGTCAGGATGACCCACCCAATTGCAAGAAGTGCAACTTTATTTAGACAATGGTCCTCTCATTTCTCTCATTGCTTTTTCAAATGTCATCAATTTTCATAACAAATATCATTCCTTTTTTCACAACGACCAATAGTATTTAACAATAATTTCCCAAATCAATAATACTTAGTAAAAACCCTTATAGAATTTTCATAATTACAGAATTATAAGGCAATAATAAGCAGTTAGTTAGAAATTATTTATCAAGAGTAACAAAAAACACTGCTTTTAAATAACCGGGCAGTTCTTTTTATTTGCTTTCTGTTAAATTTTCTCGAATTTGACTTCAGAACAAAACGTTTTCAACGTTTCTAACGCCATAACGCTGTACATTTCCGCATTGATACTTCATAAAAACGTAAGAAAAATTTTATTGTTTCATCAGGAAAATAAATCACAGTAAAAGACTGTACTTTTTACAAAAAAAAAGACGAATCTTACAATCATACATTGAGACACGATAAAAAATGAATTTTTACGAGGTCTAACCCTATGTCTTGAAATTTACGAAAAAATATGAATTTTTACGGAGTTTACAGCTATGCCTTAATAAAATTTATGAAAAAAAAAATAAATTTTTACGAAGTTTACAGCTATGCCTTACAATTTACGAAAAAATATAATTTTTTACGATGTTTAGAGCAATGCCTTAAAATTTGCGAAAAAAATTAATTACGAGGTCCAGAGCTAAGCCTAAATATATACGAAAAATACATAAATTTTTACGTACGAACACGGGTGCGCTTACGATAAAACAAGTAAAATTTCCTGCCATGAACACATATGACATATATTAATGATAATTATATTCTTTTTTCGAGAGTAAAATTCATAATAAATTAAAAAAAAATTAGATGAGAAGAACCGCAAACAAAATCACAGGAAATTTCAGTAAACAAAAAATTTCGAAAATTTATTAATTTTATTGAACTAATTGTGACGACATGGTACACAATTGTAACGATATTGTATATGCACGATTATTGCACTTTTTCGAGAATGTAAGAAAAAGTTGCTAAATAAGAAGCTATTGTATTGAAGGTTTTAAATAAAATTTAAATAAATACAATGCAATTGAAGATAAATTCGGTATTAAAAGGAATATTGTTAACGATTATCCATGGGCAGGAGCACCATAATTGATGTAATATAATAATATACCCATAATTAGTGTACCTAATTAATATTAATTACGCCCATATATCAATTATAAATCACTAAATAACTGAATGAAATTACATCAATGGGAAGACATTAATTCGTAATTATATATTGATTAATTTATTATTAATTAGTGCAATATTAAATGCTTTGATATCATTTACTCAATTATTAATATGGCGGCGTGAAAATAGAAAAAAATATGATAAGGTTTAATATTTTGCCGCATTCATACTTTTGTATTCAAGTGATATTCACTAAATGATTAACAATGAAAACCTGAACTCGTGAAGTTAATGTATTTTGTGACGAGACGAAGGCAGGAGTGCGAGGCGAGACGAAGGCAGGAGGCGAGGCGAAGGCAGGAGTGTGAGGCGGGACGAAGGCAGGAGTGCGAGGCGAGACGAAGGCACGAGTCACAATATTTTTTATATTAAGTAAATATTCAAAATCAATTTTCGCGAGTCATTGAGAACACTTGCGAAGAAATATTGTTATAACATAATACTTGTGAATTTTGCTACTCTAGAATATTTACAAGCTTAGCAGAATACTTATGAATATATATGGCTATATGAGAATATTCACCAGTGATGAAGGAATATAAGAATATTAAATAAATCTTTAGTGATATAGAATAATATTCAAGGCGCATTTTTACTGCATTTGAAATCGAGTTTTGGACGCACACCCGCACTTATTTCTTCATACTAAACTTATTAACAATTAATATACGTAAATTGATAAGATTATTCAAGATATTAAACTAATTTATAGTCTAATTAAGATACCTTACTAATTAATGCGGCTAATTTATTTACTTAGTTAAGAGGAGCGTCTGGGTTAAAAGTCGAAATTTTTGGCTTTTCCGGTTTTTATGCTCGTCGTAAAGCTTACTTTCTGCCGCATCGAACAGTACTAGAACCATCTCTGTACGTTGATTTATACGTTCACGACAGATCCCGAAATGGGGGAGGGTGGTGGTGTCCCTTCACAAAATCCTATGGAGATAATTACGGCTAAGCTCTATAAATGTGCTGTCGCTGAACCTACAGCTCAGTTACCCGACAGATATCATGCGGAGAGGTGTTGATAAAGTTGTCCTCTGCACTGCTGACTGACTTTGAAGTGAGCTAACGCTTACTTTCGGTATCTAAGCTACGTTACATGCCACGGTTTTCCGCCTCTACTGAACAATTTGAAAACAAGAAAACCTCTCTCACGCCAAACCTATCTTCTCCTACAGTTTTGAAGCTACATCAATGAGACAAACACCATTCGATTTAAAAAAAAAAGATCTACACAAATGTGTACGCGTTTTTCTAATTTCGTTATAGTTAAGATTTTATTCTGCAAAAAGGGGGGGGGGGTAAAATCGAAAAATTTCCGAAAACTTTACAAAAAATGCTCCCACACCCTCAAAAATGAGAATTTCAAAAAACGCATACACACTTTTTTAGATATGGTCATTACGCATCGAATGATATGTGTTTCGATGTTGTAGCTTGAAAATCCTAGGAGGAGTACCCTAGGAGTACCCTTTTCTAAAGTACCCCTTTTTTGGCCGTTTTCTATGAATTTCACGTTTTCTTTCATTTTTTTCGAAAAATTCACATGAATAAAAAGTCTTAAAATTCTGTTTTACATACGTGTACCAAATTTCGAATCGATCCGTCTGTAAATAACCGAGATAAATTTGACCCCAGACGCTCCCCTTAAATGATAAGTCGACATACTTAAGAATAATTAATATACTTAATTACCGAAAATGTGTCTTTTCCACAATGGCCTGACATATGTTACATAAAAACTTCAGAAATCTATTAAGAATAGTCATTATATTGAGCTATAAACAATAGATGATAGTTAAATCAAAATTTCAATGCAGAAAAATAATCAAAAAGAAATTTACCCATGAAATCTATCATTGAAAATATCGTGATTTTTTATTGTCCTTTACTTCGATATAAATTTTTTTTTAAATACTTGAAATTACATCATTGCATTAAAAATGACAAATTTCGATAATGGCCACTTAAGACCTGAACTCTTATTCACTAGACAATCTGATTATCTGTACAAAACATCTATAACATTCATAAGAAATATAATTCATTCATTCATTCATTCAAATAATTGCAGGTTAATATAGATTGTATTCGTTATGTCTTATTGTTATTGTCATATTTAGCATTTTGTTTTACAATTCCGTATGGCCATGTTGTGTTGCAACGCCATGTTCACCATGCGTTTTTGTGTTTTTTTTTTTCAATTCAAAAACCACATTAACCATTCACTACGACCGTAACTACGCTACCACTCTCAGATCGTCTCTGCGTTAAAATATCGGTACCTTGAAAGAAAATAGTCAGAAAATTCACTGAAAAATCTAAAGGCAATAACACTGGATTAAGTTACAAAATTAACGAAAAAAAAATTCCGATAAGGAATTCAATTTAAGCATTAGAAAACTTGTTAATGAAATCAAGATCATTGAACGAGATCGACAGCATCAGTAAAACCCGGAGCATAGCTGGCCAAATAAACTCTGTGAGAGGGTGGCTGAGTGGAGAAAGTTAAGAGTGCCTAGATTAGAGCAGCGAGTTGCGGATTCGATCAGAGATAGCTGTGAAATTTCTGGTCGAAATCGGCAATAGTGCCAGGCGGTAAAATAATAAAGATGGGTGTAGTGAGTTTCGGGTTTGATCTGAGGCAGCTGTGAAAATTTTCGCCGAAATCGGCAACGTGGCCGAGTTGTTAAAAGTAACAAGACTGGGGCACTGAGTTAAGGGTTCGAATCCCTAGCAAGCGATAACCTTTTTACGCTGTGTTAAATCGGGAGGAGTGAGATTTGGCGTTATCTACGCCAAAATCCATATCAAAGTAACTAGGTATTAAGATTGCAGATTACTGCTATTCTCTAAAGGTTGCAGTTACCACAAAGGACCCTACCAACCAAAACAACATAAAAAGATAAAACCCCACAGCCAACAAGCCCTTACAAAATTTGGAGGCGCGCCCGACTCTGCAACAGGCGCCGCCCAGGACTCGGGGAGCGCGTAAATCAGCCGCTCATGTCTGCCTCGGCCGGGCTTGAAATAGGCTCTAGGCAGCTTGCAATCTCGGTATAACTCGACCAGGCTAACCGTTGTCAAACTCTCAGGACACACTTGTTATCCTCTCAAGATACGTTTACACTTAATGTCACACTCTCAGAACACACTTGTTACCCTCTCAGCTCATTTTTACCGCAATCTAATTTCAACCGTGTGGTTAAGCCGACCAAGAATGCCTTTAGGTTGAGCTGAGCGGCTCCTGGCAAAAGCCCAGGCGTTAGCCGAATTTTTGCTATGGACCTGAATAATAAGTTTTGTTAGGGACTTGAACAATAAGTTTTGTTAGGGACCTGAATAATAAGTTTTGTTAGGGACCTTAATCTAAAGACAAGTTCGTCACAAGGACTCAAAAGTCTAGAATTCCCGACACACGACTGCAGGGCGGGCCGTCACCACACAGCTCTCTGAACTACCACTCCTTCAGGAGAGCAGCATCACCACCCCCATCACCATCTCTGCACCACCACATCCATCAACTACATCACCCCATCACCACCTCTACACCACTACATCCATCACCTACACCACCCCATCACCACCTCTACACCACTACATCCATCAACTACACCACCCCATCACCACCTCTCCATCATCACCACCATCAGCAGAACCCCATAAACACACACCGCACCACCCATCCCTCCTTCAGAAGCGCCACTCGTAGCAGCGAGCTGGGGGGGCACTTTCTTCTTGGACTCCATCTTGGTCTCCATGACTCCATTGGAGCGTGAGGCTGTCTCCAAGGGTCCTCTGGCCCTGGAGCACTCCATGGGCTCCGTCTTCTTCAGGAGGTAAGCGAGGCCCTGGGAGCGTCCCTGTTTCTCCAGCAGGTTGCCCACCTCCGTACGGGCGCGGTGGTGGTAGTCGTTGATGAACTTGCACTGAAAAGAGGGGAAAAATATAACTCAGTACTCACTGCAGTGAGTGACAGAGAGCGCATTTACTCCTCGAAGAAAAGTCGAAGTCACGGACGGACGGACAAACAGACGGACAGACAGACGGACGGACATGACGAGCACAATTGGGCATTTTTTCCATGAATGAGAAAATGCGTTGAAAATAGACATGAAGTTCAGCATTTTGGCTCATCAGTATGATGAATCACTGGCATAATTATGACCTGTTCAGCATTTTGGCTGCTGTATAATGACGATTGTGGCACATTTCTCACCTGTTCAGGACTCAGCATGTTCAGCATGATGAACTTGGGTTCGAAAGGCACCAGTGTGACAGGTTCGAAGGCGTAGAAATCCGTGTCGGTTTTGTACGGCTTAACAAAAAAAATTTTAATTAATACCCGAGTTAAATGGAAATAAACTTATACGTGTCTATTAAAAAGTTATATATTATAAATATTACGTAAAAATTCAGAGAATGCAGATTATTATTCTTAAAAAATTAGTTTTTCATTGCAATGAAAATCTGCATATCATTTTTCGAGTTTGCAAAGTCGTAGCACAAAGAAGTAAAAATTAGTTTCCTATTAAAATGAATTATGAATATATATATTATAATAAATAAATTAAATAATGTAATAAAAATTATTTCTAATTTAATAAAGTATATTGAATTAATTGAATAATGAAATGAATAATAAATCTTAAATAAATAAACTGAAATTAAACAAATTAATCTATCATCTCTCCTACGTACGTTGGGTTCACAAAACCCAATGTGGCGAAGAAGACAACAAATTTCATTCTTAATTTCAATTCACACATCCTACAGCTTTGTAATATCAACTGAACGGGATATTAACCGGTGCTAAACTAAATACCCTACCACCATCCGAATCCCAATATCCCTGGCCATCACCACTCAGCCCTCATTTCTCTACCTCTCACCCGTCACCACTCTACCCTCAGCCCTCACCACCACTCATTTTTTACCACTATTCTCTCACCCCTCACAACAGATCACCCCTCGCCACCACTACCCTCACCACTCACCAAGTCACCAGCCCTCACCACTCACCAAGTCACCAGCCCTCACCACCCTCAGGATGGTCTCCAGGCGTATCCCGAACTCCCCCGCCAGGTAGTAGCCAGGCTCTGTAGGGTTACGGTTACGGTAATTAATTAAAATAGCGTAAATTTACGGAATTATGGTAATTACGGCACTGTAGTATTCACCGTTTTACTGTATAAAGGTATTACTTTATTTAAGGTATTGCGGTGTAATACGGTACTGCGGTAATTTACAGTATTACGGTCCTTACGGCACTGTAGTATTCACCGTATTACTTTATTCAAGGTATTGCGGTGTAATACGGTACGGCGGTAATTTACAGTATTACGGTACTTACGGCACTGTAGTATTCACCGTATTACTGTACAACGGTATTATTACGGTATTGCCGTGTAATTGCGATACTCTGTTCCCAACGTCCACTAATAATTACCTATTACCAGATTACTAGCTGACAGTTTTTATTACTTAAGGGTAATTGAGGTATTTTTATGATATTTTAACCATGGACAATTAACCTGCACATATTACATTAATAATTCTGCGAAATAATAATAATTCTGCACATAATTCTGGCATAGTATATAGCAATGCATTGTATGAGTCAGCGCAGTTTACACTAAATGGAAAATTTCAACCTAAGTTTCGGCTTAGTAGTAAATTCAAACCTGAGTTTGTTCAGTGGCAAGTTTAAGCTTAAATTTGGTCATGATGGTAAGTTCCAACTCACCGCCTGAGAAGAAATGGTTCAACTCGAACTCGTGTTTCTCGTCACCGTAGATCCGAACCTGGATTGGGGCTGCGGAGGTGAGAAGATAATGAAATATCGTTTATGGTGACACTCGGTTGACGCAAAACGTTAATTATGAATTTAGAGTTATGAGATCAAAATGACGTTTAGTGAACTAAAAAAAATTAATTAGAATAGCGTTAATTTGAATAGCGATAGTTCGACTACGGTCAACTAGAATATCGTTAATTTGACTAAAGTTAATTATATAGGATATCGTTAATTTGACTATCGTTAATTAGAAATAATGTTTACTTAAAATATTCATTAGCCCTGTGCGTCACAACTCAATTAGAGCTAACGACGGCTAATTAAATATAATCATATTAGTTATCAGAGAAAATAAGGCGAATTTTAAAGATTAAAAATGCATGCATGAATATGATGGATTATTTAATGGACAATAAACATTATTAGATGTTACAATAATCATGTAAGGTATACAGCGAGTCATAATGTTATTGTAGTCTCAATGTTGGACGCTACATTTGTGACTAAACATATTGTTAGTGGTCAACATTTGACGCCACATAACGTGAAACATGTCCACCCTCATCATAACATTCTTCATTGTAATGCATCATATGCCACCTACTATATGCGTAGTGCATCACATCGCTGCATCATTCACCGCGTATAACATGCCACATTATTTCTCATTTCTCACTTAAACGTCCACCAGTGGAAACAGGTGTAACCTATCATATATATTCTATTCGCTACAAAATCTGTCACATGCCACATGCCACACCTACACTCATGCACGTTGAGGAACATGCCGATGCCGTGGCCAGTGCCGTGTTTGTAGTCCAGTCCGACTTGGTATAAATATCTGCAAAAAAAAAATCTTCTAGAATTTCTATTGCCTAGTAAATTAGATTTTGCAATGACCAAAATTTTTCACAGCTTACTTTTTTGAATTTAATTTCGATATCGCCGCAATAACCACACAAAATTTACAGGCATGGGAAAAGAAAACAATAACATAAACGCGCGTATGAAGTCAACTATGAATTTTTTGCGATATATTCCGTCCTAAAAATTGAGAAACTGCGACAATTCTTCGGGCTCCACGGAAGAAGAATATAAAAAATACGAAAAAATCCTAGGAGCCTAATTTCATTCTCGTAACTTGCCTTTATATATTCATGTTGTTATTTAGAAATGTGGATCATATTATTAGGTCTGACTGGTCCTTTAATATCACAGATTGGCCGTCGGGGTTCGCGACGAACAGATTATCACAGATTTCTGCTGGGTTCGCGGCTCGTGCGGCGGAGGATAGCAAGAGACGTAAATACGCGGCGTTGGCAGCTCGGTATCGTTTCGTGCCAGTCGCATTAGAAACGACGGGCACATATGGTGAAACGACTGGTCCTTTAATATCACAGATTGGCCGTCGCATTACGGAATTGTCCGGCGAACGTAGAGAGACTCTATGGTTGGAACAAAGGATGGGTTTGGCTGTGCAAAGAGGCAATGCAGCTAGCATCCTAACAGCAGTCAGAGAAAAGTTCGATGTGGGCCCGCTCCTCGCTCGCGTCACAGCTCAGTGACCCTCGGAGTCGGTGTAGGTCACCATCAGAGGCGTTAAGGTCGGGGCCCTGATCATTGACATGAAACCATTCCCTGTTTTTAATTAATAAAATCAATGCTTTTTTTTTGTTGGAATGGTGAGTGTAGGAGGCCTTTAAAAAAAAAAATATATATATATATTATTAGGAACCCAAACATCATTGGGTGTAACCTGCGGGTGATGACGTCGACGGTGACGTCGCTGGTGCCCTACCTGCGGGTGATGACGTCAACGTTGACGTCGCTGGTGCCCTATCTGCGGGTGATGACATCAACGTTGACGTCGCTGGTGCCCTACCTGCGGGTGATGACATCAACGTTGACGTCGCTGGTGCCCTACCTGCGGGTGATGACGTCAACGTTGACGTCGTTGGTGCCCTTGGGGAAGACGAGGAGCGCGAGGTCCACGGCCCCCATGAGCACCCTCGTGTACGCCTCCTTCTGCAGCTCCGTGGGCGCGCCGAAGTGCAGCGTCCGGGTCACGTCCGTCGTGCCGTCTCAACGTGTAATTTAGAATTATAATTAAAATTATATTCTTTAATTAGAATTATACGTTATAATTCGACAACACATCGAATATAATTTATATTCGATTTGTACAGGGTCATCAATATTTAGCGTTACATTGTTTTTTCAAAAATCAATACACTCGCAAAACAGTCAAATGTGTCGTATGGAACCATGTCGACTGTTCTCCGGAAGGACCTAAAGTTGTCCCCATTCAAGCATGTCAAAAAACACCAACTTTCTGCTCAAGTTGTTGACAAACGCCTCCAAAGATCCAAGTTTCTTCTTTCCCGCATTCATGATGGCACGCTGCCAAACCTCGTTTTCAGTGATGAGAAGATACTCAATGTTGAACACCACTTCAACTCCCAAAATGATCGAATTTGGTCGAAGAATGGGACGAAGGATCCCGTGTAGTGACTAGGAAGCAATGCCCGACTTCAGTGATGGTCTGGGCAGCCGTAACAGAGTCCTCAAGGAGTCCCCTCGTTTTTGTTGACAAAGGGGTGAAATTGAATCAGCAGAACTATCGAGATGCCATCCTTGTTGGTGCATTGTTACCCTGGGCACGAAAGCACTTCAAAAAACGCCCCTGGTCGTTACAGCAGGACTCTGCACCATCCCATGAGGCCAAATCGACTCATGAGTGGATGTCCGAGAACGTTCCCCACTTCAATACCAAGGATAAATGGCCCCCATCGTCACTCTATCTGAATCCTCTGGATTTTGGGATCTGGTCATACCTTGATCTGGATCTGGTCATACTGGTTTGATCTGGATCTGGTCATACCTTGAGAGCAAGGTCTCGACCGTTCACCATAGCAGTTTGGACGCCCTAAAGGTCAAACTGCTGAAGAATTGTGCCAAAATCCCGCAGAGTGTCATTCCTGACTCGTGTAAGGCTTTCTCTAAGCGTCTGCAACTCGTTATTTATGCAGATGGTGGACATATTGAATGAAATTGTGGGAATTGTATCTCTGAACCTCTGCCTACATAAATACATTTTCAAACATTCACAGTTGCGTTTCATTTCATACTTCTAACCACTCAAAGTTGTAACGCTAAATATTGATATATATCATATTTACTGTATAATGCAAATATAATTTACATTATACAGGGTTAATATATATATATGTTATTAAAATAAAGAAAATATATTAATAGGGAACTTGGAAGATAGAATGACATGATATCTAAATTAAATAAACGTGTCGGTTGGGCATTAATTAAGCCATCGCTCCTGCTGGCTCTTGACTCATCCAGTCAGCGGCTCGTGCAAGTAAGTAAGTTAAGTAAGTACGGTAAGTAAGAGTAAGTTAAGTGATGCTTTGTTTTATTAGGAATATAGAATAGCTACGGATATTGAAATTCAAACTTCCTGGACTTAAGGAGTAACTTGAACGAACAGCATATAAAATTATTCGACCACTTTCCCTTGAAGGTTTTTTCGGGTGCGTATTCGAACGCATATGGCTGAGCTATGGTTGAGAGGGTGGATATAAGTATATAACTCACCGAAGTACTGTCCCCCGGAGTCCAGGAGGTAGGGGGCATCCTTGGTGATGGTGAATATCGTTATCGTCCTTGGTGAATATCGTTATCATATCCTTATCGTCCATGAATATCGTTATCATATCGTTATCGTCCCTGGTGAATATCGTTATCACTAACATGAACTCACCGAAGTACTGTCCCCCCGAGTCGAGGAGGTAAGGGGCGTCCTTGGTGATGGTTAACTTGGTGGCGTTGGTAGGATTGTAGTGGACGATGGCGCCGTTGGGGCCGAACGCTGAAATTGAGCCGAACGAAGGACGTAGGAAATGCTCCTGCTCAGCGCGGTACTCGTCTAGACGCTGAGCAGCACTCAGCTCATCCCACTCACGCCCACTCTCCACCTGGTGGAGGGAGAAGGTGGTGAGTGGTGGATTTGGGTGGAGTTGAGCTGAAAAGGTATAAGTGATGAAAGGGTAGATGGTGAAGGGGTAAGAAGTGATCGAATGAGTGAATGAAGCGTTCGTAATGCTGAATTTAGTTTGTATTCTAATATTAAACATGGCTTATGTATAGTTGTGAAGAAGGGCCGAGCGATGTTAAGTAATTATATGCAGGGCGTGACTTGACCGCAGAGTTGTGGTATAAAACCATGAGCACTAGTTTGTTTATAGTTCGGAATGGCCGAGGGTATCGGAAAGGCTGACTCTTGTGGAACTCGAAACTGTCGCGGCGTCCCTTGGTAGGCTTTTGTGTGCGCGACGTCTCTCTATTTAAGGACCCTAAAGGTCGCGCCAAGTTGTTCGACTGTGGTGACCGTCACGCCAGTACGGTCTGCAGCTATCTCCGGCCGTCGGTCGGCGGGGTCAGAAATAACGGGCGCGTGGAACTTCGAGATGTTCATACCACTACGACTCCGATATAATAACGTCAGAAAATCTCCGAGTAACGGCCATAACTTCGCTTATTTGTATGGTCAACATCCGTTGATACGGTTGTGACTCAGCCGTGAGACAACGCGAGAGGCTAAGAAATGTCCAACGATTACGTCTAACGCCGGCAATAAGAAGATTAAAATTTCCGAGCACTGCGCAACAATTCTAATCGCTACGGTCATCAGCACGGTACGGTCACAGTCATCATCAGTAGCTGTAGGGTCACGATCACCAACAGCAGAAGCACGGCAACGTGCTTGGAGTAACACCATCGACGATGAAGACGGACGCCACAATTCAGAAGACGGTTATTATAAATTCTACGGTCAGACCGGCCGTGAGACATCAATGCAAGCGTGGAGATTACGACTATGGAGATGGAGCAACTGCAAGGCGACCGCGGCTACGGCTGTGGTACGGCCGCAAACGTGCGCTGAAGGTACGGTCGTTTACGACAGTCGTACTACTCAACGGAACTGCAATGGATCAACGCGAAAACTCCGAGTAAAGCCTAAGACGCTATGGTCGCAACGTGACGAAAGTAAAGCAATAGCCGATCAATAATAAAATATTGAAATTATGACAAAGAAAACAATCTTTACTTTTTTAAATTTTTATAATCATCTCATGAGTAGTGAAAGGGTAAGTGGTGTAATATTGAGTAAGAAAATTATGAGTGGAGAAAAAGCAGATGATTGTGAAAGGGTAAGCGGTCAAAGGTTAGGTGGGGTGTACTGGTCGGTCATGAAAAACTGCATAGTGAAGAGTAGGCGGTGGGTTGATTCTGCATGTACAGCGCTCAGAATTACATGACTAAGCAACAATTTCTTAATTCTACATCAACAAACGCATGCAGTTCATCCCTCACACCTCCTTCTCTAAGAAGGCAAGGAAGTCGACGAGGGCGACGGCGTCCCTGAGGTGTGCGGCCTTCATGCCCTTGGCCTCCACGTCGTTCTTGCGCGCCTTCAGCGCCACCACCGGCGACACCCCAGACACCCGCTTGTCCGCAGGCACCTGAGTAAATTGATTGATTATATATGATTAACATGCATTATAGTGCTTATTATAATGATTATAACACAAATATAATGGGCCGACACGCCCTTGGCCTCCACGTCGTTCTTGCGCGCCTTCAGCGCCACCACCGGCGACACCGCCGACACGTGCTTGTCCGCAGGCACCTGAGAGTTGTTTTTAGTTATTCAACTATTTTATGATATGATTTGAGTAATTATTATCCAGATTCATGAGTACATTACTTGATGTACGATGAATATGCATTATAGTGATTATTATAATTATTATAATACATATGGATCGGGCCGATACACGCTTCTCCTCAGGCACCTGAGAGTTGCTTTCATTAATTCAACTATTTTATGATGATTTGTTCAATTATTAATAAAACTCAATAATAAATTGATTTATTATACATGATGAATATGTATTATAGTGATTATTATAATGATTATAAGACAAATGGCCTGGACCGACGCGCGCTTTCCCTCCGGCACCTGAGGGTAGTGGTTGTTCATCAATTTACTATTTTAATAACGATTAGCGTAATGAAACATAACATTCGAGACAAGAATCATGAGCTAAAATGATTGATACAAACTTAGAAGAAGCGTTTCTACTTATAAATAGCGGTTTCAGCGTTAGTAGGCCGTTGGCCTGTCGCCGATTCTTAACATCGCAGAACATTCACAGCATTTTGCGGTCTCGAGCTCGCAACTCACTGCTACAATTCTGCTGTGCTTAACCGCCCGGCCTCCTTGCCGATTCTGACCAGAAACTGGCGCACAGAGCTGGGATCGAACCCGCGCCTCTCTGCGCCAATATCTTGGTACTCTGAACTTTAACCACTGGGCCACCCTGCCCATACTTCGACACTGTGAGTGTCGTGCTTGTTCATAGATTCAGTAATTCGATAAGGAGTTTATTCAGTAATTCTCAAATCTGCAAGGCCAAACTATTGATGCATATAAATCTATAACACAAATAGATCGGGTCTGCAGGATTTTAAATAAATGCTCTGTTGATACGAACAGCAATTACGGAGTTTATGACGATTCATGTCTTATCGCCTACGCAGGGATCGAGCTTCAACCTCGCGTGCCCTGATTTCTGGACTGCATTCAATAAACATCTTTTAGGTTTTCTTCTAGCATAGTCCAAGATCCTTTTAATAGGATTGTACCAAGATTGTTTTCGATCAAATTCAGTGTTCAAACTCATAATTAATAGCTGAAAAATGTTACAAACAAATAGAAAATTGCAACTGCTGTGCCATTTCCAAAGTAAAATCAACATCGAATGCAATTGGTGGAAGGAGGCAACCAATCAGAGCGCTGCAATGCAGCATCATTCCAAATCATTTCCCCATTATTTATAACTATTTATTTGTTTATGCAAATATATCGAACTGACGACCAATTTAAAGTCCACAGACCGAGCTAAAATAATATTGATCAGAGACAGAGAGCAGATTTCAGTTGAGAAATTTACATCAGTCGTTACAATTTTAGAGACTACCTTACCGCAAATCCGAGGCTATTATTGTTAAATTGATATTTTATTAATAAATATACAATAATGTTTAGAAAATAACACTCACGGCGCTGTAAATGGCGTACGAGACGCCGCCGGAGTAGGCATATTTTTTGGGCAGCAGGACGCGTTTTACGTCCGCAGCCTGAGCCGCGGCTTGCAACCGCGGGACCAAGTTGTCGTACCCGGTTGTGCTGCAATAAAATACTTCAATAATTCAATTTATATTGATAAACTAGAGGTAAATACTATTATGAAAGGTAAACCGTGCAGTTGTTCATCTTGTGTAACTAGTGCTTTACGGTAAATAGTAGTCTTTTTCAATAAAAAAATGAGCCACTGGACCAAGTTGTCGTATACCCGGTTGTGCTGCAATAAAATACTTCAATAATTTAGTTTATATTAATAAACTTGAGGTAAAACTGTTATGCCAGGTAAACCATGCAGTTGTTTATATTATGAAACTAGTGCTTTACGATGAATAGTATTTTTTTTTTTCAATAAAAAAAAATGAGTTATCGGACCAAGTTGTCGTACTCGGAACGGCAGCGAGTGAGGCAAGATACCATGGATGACTGACTGAGCTTATTTATTTTTAAAGTTTTCAAATTCCATCCATATTCACCATTAGTTCCATTAAATCATCAGTAGAAATGTTCCAGAGATTATTCAGTGATTCATGACTCGTTATATTTACCATACAGAGTTCATGCACAGTTAACCACAACATACTGTAATAATTGTTCGATTTTCGGAATCAGCGACAGGACCAATGGTCTTATCAACGCTGACACCGCAATTGCTATTACTAAATTATTGACTTTACTGTCTACATTATTTTAATTTAACACGTTGAGAGCGGCACGACCAAACGGTCGGTTGAAGGGTCTTCTTTCCGGACAAAGTCCGCGATTTTCTTTATAGCGCATTTTCTCATTTGTGGAAAATATGCGCTATTGTGCTCGCCGTGTCCGTCCGTCCATCTGTCTGTTCGTAATTTCACGTTTTCGTCGACGAGAAAATGCGCTGTCTGTAGTGAGTCGGTAAAGTCGATTTAAATTGCGTTTGTCGATAAAAATTTCTGATGGCAGGACTACCTTATTAAATTTTTATGTACGGAAAAAAAAGAAAATTTAATATTTGCAACTAAACCTACAAATTTACTAGTATATTTTGAATTATAGGTGAATTATGGGCCTTTTTATCCGTGGACTTGGCCGTTTTTAGGCCATCTGACAGCGCTGGTCGGTCCTTAATTCTTTAGTACTTGTTTCGGACATAGCAGTCCCAGGCCACGATGTATTGCCGCCTCTGATTATCGTTCATCCGCCCTCATTTGGGCCATCTGATGCACGATGCTGTTGCTTGCTTCTCGCCGCTGGTAGTGTTGCAGGGGAGGTCGATCTGGAATTGTGTCCAGGAACACGTCCAGTCGTCTCTTGAAGGTCTACAGGGTGAACTCCCCCTCTCTTAGATCCTTTGGTAGGACGTTGAACAGCCTTGGCCCTGCCACGGAAAGTGATCCTTCCCACAGGGATTGAAATCTGACCGCAGATCTGTTACGTATTGGAGGGATCCTGCACAGTCTCTCCCTTCTCTCGTTATGGTGTGTCTCAATCTTGAAGGTCTCGTTTTCAAAGTTTGGTGCCATTCCGGTTATCATTTTCCATGTGTACAGATTGACATACCGCTCCCGTCTCCTCTGCAGTGAGTACAAACCCAGTCGCTGCAACCTCTCCCAGTAATTTAACTCCTCCAGCCCTCTGATCCTGGAAGTGAAGGTTTGTTGGACCCCTTCCAGTTGCCGTACTACGCCGAGTGTGAACGGGGTCCAGAGCTGGCAGCAGTATTCAAGGATAGGTAGTACAAGGGCTCTGAAGAGTGTGATCATCGGTTCAGCTTCTCTCGTTCTGAACGTCCGCCAGATCCACCCCATCTGTCGCCTACCTCTTGCGGTTATTGCTGCACTGTGATCACCAAAATTGACCGTACTCCTGCGGCACTCAATGAGTTAATTCACATTAATGGAGTGAGCTATGAAAACAAGTTGATATAGAGATCACCGCAAGTCTTTAAACGAATTGAATAGAAAATTTGAAAGCCCTAGAATATTCCTCACTGGAAGCAGACGTTGTCGAAGCACTGGCCGATGTGGAGGTGGAAGTCCACCACAGGAGGGATCCTTTCGTTGTCGATGAACAACGTCACGTCCTTGTGGTCCACCAGCAGGTAGCTCCTGAACACTGCGCGTGGGTTCATTAGTAATAGGGTCAAATGCAGGGACGGTAGGATTAGGAACAGGGTAATTGCAAAAACGACAAAGTATTTATCCGAAATATCTTCCCGAGCTACACGCCCTAAACGTTTCACGTCCTCCGGGTTTAAAAAGCCTCTTCCGCAATGTATTATTTGAAAACCAAATCAACCTGTGCCACCTACCCCTACCCTGCCTGAGCTACCATACAACAAACACCTTTGCCACCTGCCTCACATCCACACATGTGTTGTATAACCCGCCACCCACCTGTGCCACCTGCCATACCAGTATTTTACCACCTGCCACCCCACCCACCTGTGTTGTAGGGGATGTCGTTGCCGCGGAGGTTGAGGAGCCACGCGACCTCGTCGAGCGCCGTCACCACCAGCAGGTCCACGTCCTGCTTCTTCATCTCCTCCCGCACCTGCGCCACCTTGTGCGTCCACTCCACTCCTGCCGGAGGAGGGGAAGGGGGAGAACGTTTAAGCGCAAAGGTAGGTTAGTGAATGTGTGAGCTTATGATGAGTACGGAACTTCATAGTCCTCCGTCTCCGAGTCGTCGCTAGGCAGGTCACCCCGCCCTCGGGTCCCGGATGGAACGTTGGACGTGTTCCGTCTATTTGCCCTCCTTTGGGCCAGCTGATGCAAGATGCTGTTGCTTGTCACTTGCTGATGGTAGTTTCCCATTACTGGACAATCCGGAATCTTTCTCAACCAATGGTCCACTCGTCTCTTGAAAGTTGCAAGGAAGAACTCCTCTCCTCTCAGCGCCTTTGCCAGGGCATTAAAGAGCCTCGGTCCTAAAACGAACAGTGATCCCTCACGAAGAGTCTGTACTCTGGCAGCAGCTCGGTTATTAAATGGGGGAACCTTGCACAGTCTCCCCCGACTTTCGTGGTAACGTGGCACTATTCTGGAGGTCTCACTCTCAAAGTTGGGAGCCAGTCCGTTTATCATCTTCCAAGTGTACAGTATGATATACCTTTCCCTTCTTCTCTCCAGTGAGTACAGTTCCAGGTGTTTCAGCCTTCCCCAGTAGTTCAGGTTCAGCTACCTCAAGCCGCTGATCCTGTACGTGAAGGTCCGCTGCACTGCCTCCAGTTTCCGCACCGCACCTGCCTTGAGTGGCGACCAAAGTTGGCAGCAATACTCAAGATTGGGGAGCACGAGGGCTCTGAAGAGTGTAATCATTGGTGCTGCTTCTCTCGTTCGAAATGTCTGCCATATCCACCCCATCCTTTGCCGGCTGCGCGCAACTATTTCCTCGATATGGGCATCGAACGTGGCTTCAGTACTCATCAACACTCCGAGATCTCGAACTAGTTGCTTCTCCTCAATTTCTGCGCCATCTGTCAAATAATGTGATATTTGAAGAAAGGGAATTTACTTCAGTTGGAACGTAATTGTTAGTATAATCTTTAGGCAGCCTTAAAATTCAACTATAGAAAGTGCCTAATTGATTAATTTCGTTTGGAAGGTGGCGCGGGAACTTCGTCCCAGACGTCATCCACCTACGATCCATCGGCTTTTTCATTGAACGAATGTTGGCGGGATTTGCGCATCGTCAAAACCGTCCGCGGGTTTTGATTCTCTATACGGATATATTAAAATTAATATATTTGAGACTGTATTTCTGATTTTCCCGCCATAATATTTTCGTTATGGCGACCTTCCCAGGGGGCGTGAAGTTTGGGTGGCGTATGGATAGGGTTCCTAATGCATTCATTTCAGGGCGGAGTTGTTGCGGTCCCGGGTACGGCTGGTGTTATATATTCTCTCGTTAATTGCTGTTGGTGCACATTACGACGTTTGATTTATCTACCCTCTTGTGCGAATTCTGCATTGTTTCTGAGCCATAACTACTTTTCCTGTGACCTTGAAATTTTTTCTTTAAGTTTTGCTGACCTTTGCAGCACAGTATATGTGAGAATTTTCCGGGTTTCATCATGGTTGATTCAGAGTATTTAGTTCAATCAAGGGGACACTTACGTTCCCGAGTCACCAGACTGTATGACAAGATAAATGATAGTTCGGTGAACTTGTCTCTGGTGGAAAAGCAGTCCAGTTTGAATGCACTTGAGGTTCTCCAGGCTGAAATTAAGAATCTTAATGAATCCGTCTCCTCCAACTTATGGCAAAAGTATAAAGACGAATCTAAACTAAATACCGAATTAGATCTTTGTGAGGCCTATAACGAGAAAATTAGGGAATGTATGGTAATATTAAAAGCAGATATCACAGACGCTACTTACGTCCCAGAGTCTCGGATTTCGGACCCTCAACCTCGCTTGAACAAATTAAAGCTGCCCGAGGTTCCGTTACCTACTTACAGGCGAGGGGAGGGAGAGACGTTGAATCAATTTATTGACAACTTTGAGACAATCTTGGCTAAATATGATCTGTCTGATTATGAGAAATTCGTCTATTTGAAGAGACAATTGCATAATGAGCCTCTCACTCTAATTAATTCCTTGTCAGGTGCAAAACAGTCGTACGAAGGTGCCAGAGTATTGTTGAAGGAAGCGTTCGCCGACGAAGTCGCTCAGAAATACGATGTGATCAGACGTTTGTCGACCTTACGGCTCGCCATAGATGGAGATCCATACAAATTTGTTAGCGAAATGAAACTTGTCCAGGATTTGTTTCGTGGTCTCTCCATTAATGTGACTGATGTCATACAATACTTTATCTGGAATGGAATGTCCTCACGCTTGCAAAATCAGTTTGTGACAATTTGTAATAAGAACAAACCAAATCTCGATGATATTAATCGGAATGTGTTCCCAGCCCTCGATCGTCTTAGAGAAGTTACCTCGCAAGAGGTCCTTCCCGAGACAACGAAATCGAGAGTTACCACAAAAGCTCCCGCTACGGTGCAGGGTTTTGCTGCTAACCTTGCTTCGGATAAAGTGGATAGGAAAGGGAAGCTGCAGTTTTGTAGTTTGTGTAGTAAAACCGACCACGCAAGGAATAATTCCCATTCAACTGGAAATTGTCCAGTATTCGCGACGCCTAAGAGTAAAGTGGAACGGTTGAAAGCACTTGGCGCGTGCATTACTTGCGGTTATCTTAATCATAATACTCGTGATTGTACGTTTAAATTTAACAAAAAATGTTTGTATTGCCAGGGCAGTCATATGAGCTTTCTTTGTACTAATGATGCCTCTCCCAAGGAATCGGCTAATAACTCCAAAACGAAAGGTAAATCAAATTCCGGTGTGCATACTGGAGTGGTCTGGGCGGAAACCGTTCTACAGGTGAATGTTGGAGGCGAGGCCATCTTGCCTACTTTCACGTGCGGCATCGGCGATAGCAAAGTAAGGGCCATGAAAGACTCCGGGTGTAAACCAAATTTTATCCTTAATTCTCTGGCAGCAAGGCTCAAGTTACCTGTTTTATACGATAATTGCTCGATCAATGTCAACGGTTTCAATGAGTCAAAACGGTACGTAACTAAAGTTGTCTCTGTTCCTTTGAATGTCGGTGGGATAACTCATCAATTGAAAGCGATTTGTGTTCCCAGTATTAATACCACACTTAAATTGCCTGGTTTGAGTCAAGTAACTGAAGAGTTTCTCCGCAAAGGTTACACGCTTGCCGACCAAATGCTACCAGGTAAAGATGTCATTGGAAACATAGATTTTATCTTGGGCGTAAACGACCCTGGGGTCCTACTGGAGACCCAGGTTTCGTTTGGGACCCAATGTCCTTTGATTTTCTCACGAACTTCGGCAGGCGTACTTTTATACGGAAGTCTTGAACGCATGAGAGCAAATTTGACCTCTCTTCCCATTGAAGAGTCCATTTCAAATCCGAAAAATAAGCCGATAATTTCTCCTGAAGTAGAAGACACACCATCGGATATTTCCGACACCTCGAGCGCGGTAGAGGCCAGACCGGCGATAGCTTCTCTCATCGCCGAGAACGAGGTTGTCCTGGATGCGGATGGGGAATTAAGTGCGACTTCACTGGAAAAGGCAACCGAAAAGATGCTACAGTCCCAGTGTGAACATTTACTGCAGTATGACGAAGAGTACAATGAAGACTCTACGGAGGAAAACGATAATATTGTACGCTATGTTCTGGCCACGACCACCCGTACAGAAGAAGGTAGGTTGGTAATGCCTCTCACATGGCGTGAAGACGTCCTGCCTTTTTTAGGGAAAAATTTTAATTTGTCTAAAAAGATACTGAATGGAATGCGGCGATTGCCGAAACCAAAATTAGAAATGATTGATGATTGCATCACCGAGTGGGAGCAATCTGGGATTGTGGAGCGAATTGACGACCTGGATGCGTTCTTAGAAGATCATCCAGTACACAGTTTCCTTCCTCACATGGCAGTCTTTCGAATGCAGAGAGAGACGACAAAATGTCGAGTTGTCTTTCTCTCGAATCTCTCCGAGCGACAAGGCCAACGCAGTTTGAGCATGAGCCATAACCAGGTTATGCGACCTGGTCCAAATTTAAATCAAAAACTCACCACGGCTATCATGCATATACGATTTGGACAGAACGTTCTTTGCTATGATTTGAAAAAAGCCTTTCTTCAGGTTGCTCTCCGAGAATGCGATTCCCACAAATTATTATTTCTGTGGTTCCGGAATGTCCGGAATGGGGACTTTCGTTTCGTAGCTTATCGAAACTTGCGCTTAACCTTTGGATTACGATGCAGCCCCACGATTCTCATGCTCGCAATGCACAAAATACTCTGCATTGATGTTGAGCAGGATTCCGAAGAAACAATCAAAATCAAACGGATGCTTTACGCTATGATCTACATGGATAACGGAGCGTTTACCGGTACCCAGAAAGAAGTCCATGCCGCTTACAACAAACTGTCGGATATTTTCGGCAAATATTGCTTCGAGATTCAACAACTCGTCACCAACGACAAAGAACTACAGGCAAAATGTAATGAAGAGAAGGGTGAAGAAACGCCAAGAATGGTAAAACTGTTGGGACTCGACTGGGACCGAGAGACAGACGAGTTAGCCGCGAAAAGATTATGCCTGGACGAGGCGGCATGTACCAAGAGACGCATTCTGCAGTCAATCGCGTCTCAATTTGATCCCTTTAATTTTCAGGGACCTTGTCTTAATCGAGCAAAACTGTTCATGCACTCCTTGCAGTGTTCCAAGGATATAGCCTGGGATGATAAATTATCTCCAAAGGCACTGAAGACATGGCAGACCATCGCTCGTCAGGCCAACAAGACCCCTCCAGTGACGGTGGAGAGATCAGCGGGAGCGCGCCATGATGAATATGAACTCATCGCCTTCACGGATGCAAGTAAGAGTATATATGCTGCTGTCATTTACTTGAAAAATGTGTCCACCAATTCAGTCAAATTTCTGATTTCAAAGAACAGACTAGTAAACAAACAGTTAGAATTGAAAACTATTCCGACCCTCGAGCTACAAGCAATTACGCTTGGGGTTGAGATGCTGTTG